TTCTCCTCAATCCAAGATTTTTACAAATTTTTCCAAATTCTTGTTGTCTAGAATCTGAATAAGAAATATAGTTAATAGCTTCTCTAATTTTATGTATTTGTGGTGTTATTAATTTTAAACAATTTTAAACTACTAAATTATATATATGACAAACACACCTCATATGAAATAATCTAGAGTCAAACGAGGGATTAAGAATCATTTTCAAAAGTTCAATGCATGCAGTATTTGCACTAGCATTATCAAAATTAATGCTAAATAATTTGCTCAATACATTAAATTCATTAAAAACTTGTAATAAATTCTCACACAAATTTATTCCATTATGTGGATATTCAAGTAAGCGAAAAGTAATAATTCTTTTGTGAAATAACCAATTATTATTAATAAAATGTGCAGTGACATATGTATAACCATTGTGATTACGTCCAGACCAACAATCAGATGTAAAGCACATAACTCCATCAAAGTTGTTAAATTCAGTTTTCAAATATTCAGTCATTGTATGAAATAATTTCAAGATATCTGAGCGAACAGTATTTCTACTTACAGACCGATAAGCGAGTTGAACATACTTTTGCATAAACTCCTCAAAGTATTGATCTTCTGCGAAAGTAAAAGGTATCTCGCTTGCTGCAAAAAATTCAGACATTCCTACTCTCATTCGATCCTGCGAATAACAACAATTAGAAAAAGTAAATGTTCCACTAGTATTAGTAAAAGAAATAATTTGAACTTATTTAGTATCCAATTGCCCTCTTTCATTCATGTGTTTATCTTTGTATCTTCTCAATGTGTCTGTGCCTTGACCTTTAACCCATACATAACTCTTTCTGCAAATAACACATATTACTCTTTTGTTTGGTTCATCCACTGTAAAGATTTCTCAAACATCAGATGTGTGCTTTTTATTTATTCGATGTTGAGAAGATCTAATATTTTGATTATTATCATCTTCCAAATTTATTGGAGAACAACTATCATACAAATTGACATTTCTTGAAGAAAAATCGTGAGAATCCATAACACTTTAACAAAATTTTTTTAAATAATAAGATGAAAAGAAAGCACAAAATACTGAATATGAAAAATACTTGCTGAAAATATTAAGAGAGAACGAGA